ACACACTTACCTCTCTTTTTATTGTTAAGTTTTTTTCTTTTTCATTTTAGTCCTTTACTTCTTGAAATTTAGTCTTCCTACTTGTTTAAAAGCTAGAGCCTAGTGATCTATATTAAATTCAAACATGTGAAGTGTGTTGTCAATTCGACTAAATTTAAATCAAACCTTTGAATATTAAAACTCCACATACCAAATTTATCGAAATTTATTAACAATGTAATTAATTAGATTTAATTAAACTTTAATTCATTAATTAAGTGATTTTAATAATAAAGATTCTTGTTTTCTCTATAGGTTTTTAAGTTACAACAACTATGTTTATAGGATGTATGCATTGTCAATGATTATGAAAGATTTTGAACATATACTATTTTCTTGTAATCACTTCATACTATTAAAAAAACTTGGATTTTGAAATAAGAAAATAGAGGGACTATATTTTTGGAAATAAAAATAGATAGACTAAAATTTTAAAATCTATAGAATACTGAGAGTAAAGGCATAATTAAACCATTTAATTAATTTTTATTAACTTTTACTTTTTTACTGTAATATTAATTTTAATTTTAAAAAGGCTAAACTATAATTGAATTCAAAAAGCATAAAATTTGTTGTCTCCGTTTTTATTTAATTAAGATTTTGTCACTTTAGTTTTAATTTAGTTAAGATGTAGTCACTAAAGATTAATTATCATTAGACTTTTTACTTATTGATGTGTCACATTGAATTTATAAAATTAAAAAGGGTAAACTACACCAATGGTCACTAATTTTTGAGTAAATTTTTGTTTTCCATATTGAAGTTTCAATATAACAAATTGATCACTAAAACATCAAATAGGTCCTTGAACATTTTATATCTAATTTTTAGTTTATCATTCGCTATATTCAATTGCTTCATGTCAAAAAAGTTCATTTCTAAGTTTTATTTTTAAAATTTAAAAAGTATATATATATATATATATATATATATATTGAAAAATTAAAATGCTTTTGAGGTAAATTAGATACAAAATCATTGTTTAATGACCTATTTGATGTTTTAGTGACCAAATAGTTATTTTTGAAACTTTAGTGGGGAATGAAAGAAGTTACTCAAACATTAGTGTTCATTTGTGTAGTTTACCTATCACGTCAGCAATCTTTTAAAGTTCTAACGACAATTAACTTTCAGTGATCACATCTTAATTAAATAAAAACAAAAGTGATTAAATATTATGTTTTTAAAATTCAATAAGGAAAAGTATACAAAATAAACATAAGTGATCAATCATTTAGTTTACCATTTAAAAATGATATCATATATTACTCATGTTATTATTAATAATAATTTAAATGATTATAAAAATAAAAAATTATATTCATGATTTTTTTTTAATATTGTCTTATTGAAAAATAAAAATATAAAATTACAATAAGTGTTTACAACTATTATCGTAAAATAAATATATAATTTGAATATTTTCCTAAAACATTAAAACTATGCACTTTAGATCTAATTAAGACAAAACATGAAAAATATTAAAAACCTAACCAAAAGACTCGAATAAAAAATAGATATGAACAAATCTGATTGTATCGATAAATGAAAAATATAAACTATTGAAAAAACACTGAGAATCGTAAATCAGAATCGAGCGTCGTGAGAAACTATTCACCAATGTAAAATCGAGTATCCAAATTCAATTCAATGGATAATAGCAAATAAAATCAACAATATTATAAATAAGTGTCAACTTGATCAGTCGTGACATCATCAAATCAAAACATGAAAAATATAAAATAAAAAGAACGGTCAAACGTTTGAGAAAGAAGACGAAAATCGTGCTATAAAAATAAAATAAAAATATGTTACAAAGAAAAAAAATGTGTCACGCAAATAGAATAGTTTTTGTTAAAAATTAAAAGAGAAATAAAGAAGATAAAATCGGTGATCAGCAATTAATATTAAACAAAATAAAAAAAATGATCTAATTTAGATAAAACGATGTAAGCTCTAAAGAAAAAAAAAGACGGGGAGAGCGGCTAGGGTAAAAATATTATATTCATGAGTTAAATTAAGTTAATAAGTGATAAATGATATAGATTACGTTTATTATTTATTAAATTAATTAATCAAATAATATATCATGAATAATTATGTAATCACTAGCTATTATAAATTAATATAAGATAAAACATGTGTTGACTTGTTGAACCCACTATGACCCTAAAGACTATACGTGTCAAGCACGTGGTATTAACGCTAAAACACTTGCAAGGAGAGACTTAAAGATCTTCAACAATTGTTGCCTCGTTGATAGCTAAGACCGCCATGTTCCAGCTTTCGAAAACCTTCCCTAAAACCCTTTCTCTTCGACCCTCCACCAATGTCTCACGACTCTGCTTCTCCACCGCCGCCTCGAAACGCCCCGAGGTAAGATTCTTTTGCGTTACTAATTGTTAAGAAGAATTGATTAGGTAAGCTTAAGGCGATTGTTTATGGAGTTTTTTAAATGATGATTTTCATGGCTTGATTATATTTCAGGGTAGAGATGCATATGAAAGTGCAAACCCCAAAGCTGAGTTCGCCTACAGGGTGGATACTCATCCGATGAGACTACGCACGACGCCAAGGAGAAAAACGAAAGGAGCCGCCGGAATGGCGGCTGACAAGCGAAAGAAATGACGGACAGAGCGACGGACTGCTCGAAGCGCCAACGAGACGATGAGACAGAAAGCTAACTATACGCGCAGGATTCCAAGGAGAGTGGCCAAAACGCGAGAGATAAGGCGAAGGAAGGCACCGAGAAGGCTTAGCAAACTGCGTACGAATGGAAGGAGGGAGCGCAACGTGTGATGGAGAAGACCGAGGAGGTTGCCGGTACGGTTGCCGATAAGGCGTCGGGAGACCATGCCTAGTGTGGGAGAGAGGGAAAAGTAGACGGCACGGGGAGCTTGGGATGCGGCGAAGGGGACGGGACAGAAGATAAAGGAGACGGTGGTTGGAAAAACGAGGAGAGGAAGATGGATGAAGATGATGTGGATTTGAGGACGAGTGTTGAGCGAGAAGGTGATGAGAGTTTTTGAAAGAATATTAATGAATTGTCGTTAGTCTAATGGCTAATCTTTAATGTTCTAAGTGTTTATTCTTCTTTATGAAAAGGAAATGAAAGAAAAAAAATTTAAGGCTGTGTATTTGTTCAAGATTTGGGATTATCATGCTTATCCTATTTAATAATAAATCCTAAATCCCACGGTGTTGATAAAATAGAGTAGAGGCAGAGACTGATCAACACTTGAATCAGAACTAACAACAAAAAGCTTTTTCAAATCAATGGCGTGATCTTTTAAGTTGTATATGATACTACATCGATCTTCCTTCTTTTGTTATAGTTATGAATATAGAAAAAATATACATTTGCTCTATATTTATCCGTATAACAAAATTAACGTTAGTCATTGGCTTAGTGTTATCTAATCATTTCTACTTGCAGACAACTGAACCATGATTATATTATTTGTTTCACGTGCAGTTTCTTCTCTAATCTTCACACAAACACATTAACCCAATATGTTTTCCTGTTGAGGAAAATCTCCGTCCTCCACTGAGAGTTAATAATATCCTCTCCATGGGTCTCTCTGAGCCTTTTGTTGTGGTACATATTCAATTATGTTTAAGTCAATACCGATCAATCAAGAAAAGATCCAAATGAGAATTTAGAAATAATTGAAGGATCCAAGTGAGAATTTATGGTGGAGGTAAACTTTTAAAAGTTTTGCAGATATGAATCACTCAACAAGCCTAGTACTTCTTCAACCTTTGGTTTCGTCATCCAAAACCAAGTAAAATGTCGCTTTGCAGACCAACATTAATGGTGGATTCTAAATATGTTAATCCATTAAGTAAAATTGTCTGTTCATAAAGAAAATGCACGATCTTACTTTAAGAGGGAATAAATACGTAACTTATTGTTGATTTGTCTGTTTTATCAATGCTATTCCATTTTTTGAGTTACTTGAATGGCCATCAATCTGTGGAGATGTGTGGTAGCTTAGGGTTTTTCTATTGCAGCTAGTGAATGGGTGAAAGGGAAAAAGTATGGACAACAAGAATATGGTAAAGCTATCACAAAAGAATCTGTTGGTAACGGTGATTACCACTCTAATGCAAAGAACTAATTTATCAGATGAAAGGAATATACTAGGCAACGAGACAGCTAAAACTTTGATCAACAGTTAACAGGCATTTGTTTTTTAGAGCTGATAGTCTGATTAAATTTTAAAATCAATTTAGTTTTGATACAAAAGTCAAGGTGACTTAACATCAACTGGATTTCTTAAATTACAAAATTTCAATGGATTTCCGACTCTTCAAGAGTGGAACAAGATTTGGAAATACGTTTCCCATCACTAATCAGTTCCTATATTTATGGTCTGTCCATAAATCACAAGCACAATAGATTTATCGTTCATTGCAAAGTATTTCTAATTTATTAAACCTCAAAGGAATCTGCATCTTTGTAACTTTAGATCTAAAAGCATGAAATTTCATCCTCGATTCAGCTTCAACCATCGTTACAAAATTACTTCAGAACTAAAACTCACCGAGCAAAAAACAAAGTTGATCTTTCGGAAGATGATAATTGAGTTTTAGGGTTCAAGATTCATCCATATAATCTAGTAAAGAAATCAAAATAAGAATGACTTTAACGGAAGTAGAGAAGTTGTGGAGGAGGAAATATCTAAATTTATGATATTATTGGAAAACATGTCCATTCCAATCTCAACTTTATCACATGAGAAGGGATAAAGATAGCCCTTCAAAACAATAACACCCGAATCTGGATTTTCTCTTTCTTTTTTTCTTTCTTTCTTCGTGTACATAAGATACAAACAACCATATCTTCAACGAAACATTTGAAGAAATTGCTTGTCAAGATGTTACCATGGACAAAGATCACCCCTTTTTAATATACAACAACTACTGCTCTGCTTCTACAAGCTATATCTACAATCTCCTCCGTGTCAAGCAAATAGTGCCACTGAAATATCAGCAAGTTTCTTCCTGTTGATGGACGTATGAGACCTCCGTTGCTTTGGTGCATTTGGAGCTTCAATGTCCTCCAATTCACTTGATTCCTCCAAGTCTATGGATGTTCGAAAAGCTTTCACCTTTCTTGGTGTGCTATAAGCAAAATGAGACTGCTTTGCAATCACAGTCTGAGCAAGAAAAAATTAGAGTCAAAATCAGACTAAATAGTGTTAATCAAGAAATGAAACATCCAAATTAAACTGTTTCCGATTCTCACAGCTTCGCTGATTGATTTAGAAACATTAAAAAGTTGCTTCAAATCTTCATGTTCGACACCACAAATAATCCTAATCTGCAAAAAGGAAGAAAAAAAAACAAAAATAATTCTCATCAATAACAACTCGGAATCCAAAAATAGGAAGTAATGAAAGAAACGAAGCTTTGGGTTTGTTTTAGTTCTTACAAGAACATCTTGAGGTAGTGATTCGAGAGCAGATTTTTCATGGCAATCATCAGCCGTCAGCATCAAAACAATCCTCTCGCTGCATTGCCTTTTCATCAATGGAGCTTTGGTAGCAGGCGTGATTTCCTCCATCTCATTTGAAATCCCAACCCTTTTCCTCCCTAATCCAAGCGTACATCTAACCAACCCTAACCGTGACTCTTCCTCCTCAATTACTCCGCGTTTCAAGTTCAGTGAATACGAACGATATACTCTGCCCAAACCATTGTCCAGAATCTATCAAATTCAAATACAGACTTCCAAGGCTAGATTTTGTTTTAGACGTAGAGATGAGATAAAACCCTGAAAATTGAGCGAATATTACTCCTCCTTTGTGCTGCCAACTCGCTCTTAAAATGTAAACTTCCGATAAAAGGGCATTTGATATTTAAAATGAGAGAATATTTAGGCTTTTTTTCAAATCTAGAAATACTCGATAATTGCAATTTTGTTTTTAAAATGATAAATATGTTTCCTTTTTATTTATTTATTTCGCTCTCTCGTGCGTGTCGGAGATGGAATGAAATTTAATATTGCTGCCTTTGGCGGTTAATCTAAAAACTAGCCGTTGGGAGGGACACGTGTTAAAAAAGCAGCTTACGGGTGAACAAATTGAGTGCTGCTGCGGCCTGCTATGTTTACCTTCGCTGTTTGTTCGCCTGATACGGACATTGAGTGAATCTCAGTGTCTATCTGGTCGAGTAAACACGTGTGAGTTAGATATTTAGTGGAGCAGCCATTGCTTTGTTTGACCCTTGATTTTCTAATTCCGGAGCTGACGGCTTTTGTCTACCGTACGATAATCTTAATGTATGATTAAATGATTTTATTATTATTTTTTAATAAAATTGTTAAAAAATTATTTTAAATGTTATTTTTTTATCAAATATATTATTAAATTTGATAAATCGTCCAATAATAAAAAAAATATATAGAAATAATAATATTTCTAATAATTTTTACCGATTTTATTAAAAAATAATGACAAATCTATATTAAATTGTCGCACGTAAGACTTCTCCAACTGAGTCCTGAAATCATTTTAGTTTAAACAAATATTGAATCATCTCAATGTTATAATCTTCAAGCTTTGAGAAGTATACACGATAAATATACATTAGACATGAGTATTGATAAAATCCAAAAACCTACAGATCTCGTTGGAAGAAGAGGATCTTATTTTCTACCCACTGAAACCAGAAAATCTAACAACTTTACGTGAATATGATACCTTCCATCACTATAAGCAAGAAGAATTAGTCTCAATGTTCCAGTATTATCTCACCTTAGATTATGATTCCATTTCTACAATTTCTGCGTTTTAAACACAATTAGAGAGCATTTCAAACTAAAACTTCCGTCGTTTTAGGTCTGTTTGAATTGTTCCATGAGGCAGACTTTTTATGATATTATGGGAAATGAAAGTAAACAGTTGCTAAATAAACAAATATTACTAATTGAGGTTCAATAGTTTTTTGGATGATTAATATATGGTAACACCATATTAGGTATGATTAGCGACTTAAACTAGAAATTTATGATACTTATTTGTTTTTAAAAACATATTTGACACAACATGTAGATAATTTTCTCACGATGTTTGACTTTGATTTACGTTTATCATCAGTCTTTCAGTAGTTAAATCCAGCTATAGTTTGTTTACCGTAGTACTCAAATATGTTTATCTTAATCTACCTATTATTCGAATTTTTGAAGAGTTTTTCACCTTTTCATTATATGTTAATGGTTATGAGAGAATATTCCACCGAGTGGGAAGAGTTATATAGGAAAAGCGTGTAGATTACTAAAGTCCTTTTATGGACTTAAGCACTCCAAGAGCCTAGTTCGACAGATTTACAAAGGTGATTATTCAGGATGGTTATAAGCAATGTTAATCGAATCATATTTTATTTGTCAAAACAACTTTGAACAACAAAAAACAATTTGATTGTCTGTGGATGATATCATCCTAACAGGTGATGATTGTATGGAGATAGAAAGACTGAAAAAGCTACTGGCAAAGGAATTCGAAACCAAAGACTAGAGAACTTTACGATATTTCTTAGGCGTGGAGGTTGCAAGGTCAAAAGAAGAAATAGTGATCAATCAAAGGAAATATCATTGATCTACTATCAGAAATTGGAATGAAGGGATGTAAGCCGACAAAAACTACCATAGAAACAAATCTTAAGCTAAGGAGAGAAGAATTGGGAAGTCTCGTGAACAAAAAACAATATCAAAGGTAGTAGGTAAACTAATTTATTTATCACTTACTAGAAATGATATTGTGTTCCTTATCAGTGTAGTGAGTCGGTATATGAATGATCTGAGGGAAGAACATTTAGAGGTGTGAATATAATTCAAAGATACTTGAAAATGACACCAGGACATGGGTTAATTTTCAGAAAAAGGGATGATAGAACAGTAAGAATTTTTCGGATTCAAGTTGGACAGATGAATTAACGGATAAGAGATCTACAACTGGTTATTGTTCATTTTTTTGGAAAATCTGGTTACTTGGAGAAGCAAAAAACAAGTTGTGATGTCTCGAAGTAGTGTAGAAGCAGAGTTTAGAACAATGACACTTGGAATTTACGAAGGAATTTGGCTTCAAAGACTATTAACTGAGCTGGGGTTATGTGCCAAAAAATGTTTGAACTTCAAAATGATAGTAAATCTGTAATAAGTATTGCAAAGAATTCAATTCACCATGACCGAACAAAGTATTTAGAGATTGATAGACATTTCATCTCTGAAAAGGTGAATGATGGATTGGTGAAGCTCAACTATGTTTCAACGAAGAATCAATTAGCAGATATTCTCACTAAGGCACTTCTAAGAATTACCTTTGATGAGATTACATCCAAGTTGGTTCTTTTCAACATTTACTCCCCAACTTGAAGGGGAGTGTAGGTTATGCAATAAGTCTTATTAGTTTAATATGATACCAACTCTTAGCAAGTTAAATGGATAAGTGAGGAAATGACATTTTCATATGACAATAACAGATGGTCAATGTGCTCGTAAGGGTTGACCTGTGTCATGAAAGAAGGCAATATTAATTTCACAAATTAGTTTCTCTCCAAATGAGTTCTGAAAATTAGGTAGATCATGCATGGTTGCTTTCACTGTGCAAAGAAACTATTTAGATATGGATCATCCTTGTGCTTTGAGTACAATGGCAGATCAAGGGCTCTCTTTGCGATTCTTCTGCCCTCGAGAATCTTCGCTATCAGGCTTTCAAGGGATGGGAAATTAACCTATGGCACGCACAACTCATTAGCAGGCTTGACAGGTCTAGAGTTCCTTTTGCCAATCTTCTTATTTCATCAAGTTCTCCACATAAACTAATTACGTTTATAACTTCTGTTACGTAAAAAGGAAGAGAAGAAGCTGTAATAGTGAATATTTTGATATTGCATGTAGCCAGATGAATTATTTCAAGGAACAGTTAGTATATAAAAGATTGAGGAATTGTTTCAAGGAACAAAATAATATATTTGGAGCATAATCTGGGTAAAAAAATGAAATTAGTTATTACTAAAGAGGAAATGTAACAAATTGTGCAATATTTAATGGGAAAACATATTGAACAGGATTAGGCCTGTAAATGAACTGAACGTTCAACGAACCGTTCATGAACCGTGCGGCGGGAAGTTCGTTTATGTGCGTTTATTTATTAAATGAACGAACATGAACAAGATTTTTGTTCGTTTAATTAAATGAACAAACATGAACATAGGTTTCGTTCGTTCATTTAGGTTCGTGAACGTTCGGTTATGTTCGTTTGGTTATGTTCGTTTATGTTCGTTCGATTATGTTCGTTTATGTTCATTCATTTATGTTTAACCCAATCTTCTTAAATCAATTTTGGTGACCAATTTGTAAGTATCTTAAAAATATTAATCTAATATTCTGATGACCAACTCCATAATTAACCTAATTTATTTGGAGATTAAATCCAATATGTTAACCTGTGAGGCACCTCGCTCTTATATTCATTTTCCCCTTTTTTTCCCAAATCTTATTGTTCACTGGAGAGTGGAGACGATCTCTGAAAGATTCAAAACAAGTTATATTATAGTGCAATATGAAGTTTTACATGTCTGTTTTCATCTTTCTCTGTTTTATTTGACTTAATAGTTGATATAAAAGTTATTGTGGGTATCTTCACATCTAAAACTCAAGAAAACATAATACTTCTTTCTAGAAATAGATGGGAAGATAAAGGTAAAAATCGGAAGTATATGAGCATCAGTAAAAAGAAAAATATATAGAATTTGCCAGAAAACAAAACAAAGGTTTCTATGCAATTTCTGAAAAAGAGTGTAATAGCGGAAAATGATTGTTCATATGTAATCATGGAACACTAAGATAAATATTATAGCGTTAAATTAAAGTCGTGCGAATCATTTAATATCTTTAAAGATCGATCGAAATATTTGATATCTTCAAACATTTCATCACTGCTAATAAGCTCTTACGCTATTTATCACTGTAGATTTGGTTGATTTGCATTGTCGACTATTTTTCATGAAAGAACAATGGAAGGTAGGGTCTCCAACGTTTATGTTCGTTTATGTTCGTGTTCATTTATGTTCGTGTTCGTTTATGTTCGTGTTCTTTATGTTCGTTTATTTATTAAATGAACGAACATGAACAAGTCATATTCCTTAATAAACGAACATGAACAAAAAAAATTTTGTTCGTTTATGTTCGTGTTCGTTTATGTTCGTTTATTTATTAAATGAACGAACATGAACATACCTTCGTTCGTGTGCGTTCGGTTCGTTTACAGGCCTAAACAGGATACTTAAATAAAAGTGGAGGTCACTTACATAGATTAATCTTCAATGACTAGGCAGGTTGAAGGTTCTCTATTTAGCCTTGTAGCAGCTTTCAGGAATCTTTAACAGGAAATCAAGAGTGTTAGATTTGGACAAGGTTAAAAAGAAAGAATTCAGAATTTTATATTCAAATTAGATAAAATATATTTAAGTGAATATCAGACCAAAAACTGATGCCACTCACATTTCAGACTTGGCGTCCCTGCTGTCACTTCATCACCACCAACAATGACAGAGAAATAATCTCTCCAACCTGCAAAGGAAAGGATGAGTTGACAGCCCTAATAAGAGATTTGAGAGTCAGAAATTCGTAGAAAAAAAAAACCTTGGTGATAAGAAATTTTGGATTCTATGTTTTCCCTTGAAGAGTTTGAAGCTAAAGCCATAGGCACACCATGACCGCTCAAATGTTTAAGTAGCCGATTGGCACCTGGGTGAGGTTTAATGTTGCACAACCTACAATTACAAAGTGTGTAAATAGGAGCCTTAGCATTGTGATAATTCGAGTTACTTCAGCATCTAACAACAATAACATAAAACCAAACTTACCGGGCAGAGAATAGTGGATAGAGTTCTGCAAGAAACTCATCCTTTCCACAAGGAAGACCATATTCTTCCACAACAGCAGCAGCATCCCAATGGTGTTTTTCCTATTATTTTTTTAGATTCTCTTCCATCCATTGTTTACCATACTTGGGCAAAAATCCCTTTAAAACCTCACTTACTACACCAATACACCATCTGTCATTTAATTAGAAACAACAATTCGTTATATAAATCAATACTCTAATTCCTTTGCATAACATCAAGAACGCAATATCATATCTTTTAAAAATTGGATCCATAATCAGAGCACAACCAAAAACAAGTTCCTAGCTGTAAAAGAAGCAAGATAAAGAACAAAATTTCAAAGTAATATGAAGAACGAAAGCTTACCAGTGTTAAGAAGTGTACCATCCAGATCAAGGATAACACATGAAACCAACTTTTTCAAAGTTTTTGCCATCAATGTTTCAGCAACCAAAAATTAATCTCGAAACACTACCGCTGAAAGCGAAGGAAGCACTTGTTAATATCCGCAAATTAAAAGAATAATGGAATTGAAACTAAACAACAAACAAAAATATTACTAGGATCTATTTTGTAAATATTGACAAAATATTAAAAGAAAATAGAAACAGTAAAAGAATATCCGGAAGAAAAGCTTACAAGAGAAATTGTGCAGTTAATTGGCGCCGGCCAAAGCTGGAATGGAGGCGTGGCCTAGTAACCGATAGTAAATGATGGTGAGTTCAGTTTATGGAGGCCTGCACTCCCGGTAATTTATAATGGCCAGAAAGTTCGACGAGGATTTTGCTCTTTTCCTTTGGATTGGCCGCTCGAAATTACTTATGATTTCCACTTATATCAAATAAAAAAGGGCCTTTGTGTGTACCAATAGGAAAAGCCTACGTTAACAAAATATAGAACGGAATATTAAGATGTTACTAAACTTTAGTTTTTGAATTGATGTTAACACTGAACTTTAAAATTTTTATTGTAAACACAGACTTCGATTTTAAGTTTAATCAAAGCACTGGACCATTCAAAATAATGCAAGGTGATACTGTGATAGTTTTGTTGGGGACATAAAAGTTAAAAATATAATCTTTTATTCTATCTTATCATCTTCTTCATCAAAATTTGAATTTTTTCATTCATTTTCAGTCATTGTTAGAAAACATTATTCTTCGACATCTTTTGTAACCATCATAAAAACTAATGAACTTATTTCATCGTTCTCTACAACTCAACTACGGATAGTTTTTAAGTATAAATTATTTATACCTTTAATAACTTATACTATGGGCAGAATGTGACACACGTAAACTATGGGATATAAACTTTGGAAAGTCGGTGCAAGAAAATATTAGCCGGTATATTCTCTTTCATCTTTAGCATATGCCCAACTTTCGTAGTAACCTTGCCCAAGTGGATTCCCGGACATTGGAAAATGACTCGTCCGTTTATTTAGTTACTATTGTTATCAGCAACAGATGATAATATCAAATTACATATCTTTTTATGACGATTATTCAATTTCTTTTTTAATTTCAAGATATTGACAGAGAAAAAAGTACAAGCAACAATCATGAGGATAACAGAACAGACCACCAGCCTCATTCAATTTTGAAGCTTCTATCGGACACTTTACTGGTTGATAATAAATTACTTGATAAGCCACATCCGACCAAATGTGTCACAACAGAGATAATTTTAACAATAGTACACAGGGCAGGCTAGTTCTGTCTGTTGCCTGGTTTCTTAGTGCCCTAGTTCTTAGTTTATATACCTCTTTTGATTTCTTTGACCAAAACTTGTATTTCTAATAGAAACATATTCCCTGTAATTAAAAAGAAATCTTCACTTTGCTAAGGTTCAACAATTGCTGCTTTGTCCAACAAATACTGAAAGAAACGTTTTAGCTGTAAAAGCTGATATACTTTATAAGTTTTAACTCAACAGTTCAAGCTAAACAACAACTATTTCTTCAAAGAAAATGCAGTCCTATCTGTAATGTACTTTGGAAGAAAAAGAAAAGCTTGTTTCTTCTTTTCTTGCTATGAAGGAGAAATAGGTGAAGATATTGCAGATACAAAGATTTGAATCTCAAATATACTAAACACCACCTATCAAAAGAACCAACTGTGCTAAGTTCCGGACTCGAAGAAGAAATTCTTGAAAGTTCTGCCTACTCGGATGCTACAGTAAAAGAAATGGAACTTGAGAAGGTCAATATGGTCTGGTTTTTCTTAGCATTTTCCAATTCCATATTCATCTTTGGTCTAGAAAATTTCCAGGATTTATGAAGTGCGCCACCCTGTTCATGGATAGCTACCTTCGTGAGCATTTTTTCGCTGTTGAGCAGAAATTTAATGAACTTTACTAAAAACTCGGGCCCTGAAGAAATTTCATGATTTTTTCCTCCGAAACCTCCGTTGCATGAGTTGTGAGCAAGTCACACAACTCTAACCACAACCGATGCTTAGTTTTACCCTTTATCATATAAAACTGATCATCATTCAAAACAGATGCTAACCTCTCCAACCCTTCTTGCCACAGACTTGAATTCACCAAAAACTCAATAAAATCCTCAATATGACTAGGATCATACTTCAAATATCTCCTATAAAATCTAAGGGTGCGTTTGGTTCACGGAATGTAAGATTACCAGTGGGAATACAAGATTACTGGGAATGTTGTATTTTGTGTTTGGTTGGTTTAGCAGGAATGTAAGATTACCGTATTTGGTTAAAGGAATAAAAGATTATTGAAATGTATATTTGACCAAATTGTCATTATATATTTGTATAATATTACAAATTGTAAAATATTTATATATTTTCTTTAAAAAATTAAATTCATAATATTTATATAATTTTTTTACAAAATTAAAAATATAAAAAAGGTTGAATGAAAGGGTAAAATTTTTTTAACCCCTAAACTTCATATAAAATTTTAATTATAGATTTTTTTTTGTAAATCTAAAATAATTTAAGGATAAATTTGTAATTTAACCTTCGTAGAATTTTTATTATTCAATGATAGAAGAATAATATTTTTGAAAAAAAAATAAAAATTTAAGGGCATTTTAGTTCAAAACGCCGGTAATGTTACAATACCTAAGGGTGCGTTTGGTTCACGGAATGTAAGATTACCAGTGGGAATGTAAGATTACCAGGAAATAGGATTACAGGGAATATTATATTTTGTGTTTGGTTGGCTTAGCAGGAATGTAAGATTACCGTGTTTGGTTAAAGGAATAAAAGATTATTGAAATGTATATTTGACCAAATTGTCCTTATTATATATTTGTATAATATTACAAGTTGGAAAATATTTATATATTTTCTTTAAAAATTTAAATTCATAATATTTATATATATTTTTTTACAAAATTAAAAATATAAAAAGATTTAATGAAAGGGTAAAATTTTATTTTAACCCCTGAACTTCATATAAAATTTTAATTATATACTTTTTTTTGTAAATCTATAATAATTTAAGGATAAATTTGTAATTTAACCTTTGTAGAATTTTTATTATTCAATGACAGAAGAATGATGTTTTTGAAAAAAATAAAAATTTAAGGACATTTTAGTCCAAAACACCGGTAATCCAATAATACCTAAGGAAAGGGAGGTAATGACATTCCCGGTAATATACCCAAAAAATTCACTATTGGTAATCTTACATTACCGGTAATGGGATTCCCGGGCTAACCAAACGTGGGAATGTGGATTCCATTCCCATGGGAATCCAACATTCCCCCATCCAAACACCCCCTAAGGGAAGGGAGGTAATGACATTCCCGGCAATATACCCCAAAAAATCTACTATTGGTAATAAAATATTACTGGGAATGAGATTCTCGGCCAACCAAACATGGGAATGTGGGATTCCCATCCCATTGGTAATAAAATATTACCGGGAATGAGATTCTCATTCCCGACTAACCAAATATGAGAATGTAGAAATCTTACGATCCTTGAACCAAACACCCCTAAGTGATGTCTCAATGGGGGATAACCCTTTGACTAACGAAAACTAAGGTTCCCAAATCCTATCATGTTGAGTCACAGGCAATGCACAAAGCGCTCGATCATACGTTATGTGTGTCTTACTACAACTTCTGCTCAGTTAACGTCAACAAGTACATTATCCAAATCCTAGGCATCTTATGCTTTGTGACAAGTGCCCTCTCAAAAGTATTATTAAGGCTTTCATACCGAGGGTGAGTAACAGGTAAATTCGAACAATTTCAAGACGCTCAGTTTAGGTACTAGACGCGTAATTTACCCTAAAATTTAACAGAATAACAGACATCGCAGTCAATAAACTTGGTATAATTACATATTTAATCCTCATAACTTATAAATTCTCTCAATTTAATCCTACTTTTAAATTAATTCAATAAATTTAATCTCCCATCAACCATAATCTCCTATAAACTTCCATTAAACCTGCTAATTTCATAACCAAAGGACTAAATAAATCACTTAACACCTCATCAAAAATCGACCCTTTTAAATCCCCAAAATGTAGAATTACTCCCCCACCTCCTCCAGACCCATTACACTTGTCCAAAGTAGCTTCCACTTCCTTCAACTTTAGCCCCATTTTGCCCTCATTTCCCTCGTTAACAATTTCATTAATCTCCTTTTTAATCGATATCACAATCACTCTAGCTAAATCACCATCCAAGATGCAAGATTTCCTTCGTGAACTTTTGCTAAGTTATATAGCCCTCAAAACTGGCACATAATTAAGGAATCATATAAATAAAGTAGAGCTCAAAAAAATAGCTGTCCTTTTTTCCCATATGTATGGGTAAGGGGAGGTAAGATAGTAGGCTACCCCAACACCAGGTTGAAAGCAGCTTCCGTAAGAGACCTCCGAATTATGAAATGCCCTCCATGGGATTCGATCCCACGACCTCAAGATTAAGAACCTTGTGCTCCAACTGAGCTGGATGGATTGTAAATGTAAGAAAAAGTTAGCAAATTGCATGATTATTTAAGCATATTTCAATTCTTCTATACTTAATAAGCTCACTGCCCAAGAAGCACTCAACATCCAAAAGCAATATAAGGAAAGGATTACAAAATTGAAGCAAAACCCACTTCATAAAAGCAAGTAAATCACAATAAAACCATCTTCTTAGAGTATAAATGAAAGAGACTTACTTAAAATCGTAAAGCTAAACTAGATAAATGGAACAAAATTATAAAAATAAATGCTTCCATTTTACTCACGGGAACTAAAGAGATGAGACTATTGCTTGCTTCCTTTTGAAATCATCGTCTCCATTGGTTGCCATGTCTGGATTTGGCTAGATTGATTGTGATATCGATTGAAAAGGAGATTAATGAGAAAAAAACGGGGTTAAAGTTGATAATTGGGCTGGAGGAGGAGGGGGAGTAGTTTTACATTTTGGGGATTTAGAAGGGTTGATTTTTAATGGGGGTGTTAAGTGATTTAGCTAGTCCTTTGGGTTTTTTTTTTAATGAAATTCGCAGGTTTAATGTAAGTTTGTAGAAAGAGAATATCATTGATGGGTGATTAAATTTATTAAATTAATTTAAAATTAGAATTAAATTGAGAGAATATATAAATCACGAGGATTAAGTTTATAATTATATTAAGTTTATTAATTGTCACATTAATTGTTTCGTTAAATTTTAATGGTAATAGATTTGATTGAAATTAGGGTTGTTTATTTGGTTAATTCGGTGGTCGACCGAACCGAATTAATCAAATTTTTTTTCTTTAACCGTTAGTCGAACTGAATTTTTTTCCGAAAATATTAACCAAACCGAATAAATTTCGGTTAATTCGGTTAAATTTCGAATTAACCGAAATTTTTTAAAATTTCCTAATTTATATAAAAGTTAAATATTTTTTAATTCAAAAAAACATTTTACAATTAATTTAAATAATATATAATTATAAAATAAAAATTTATATAAATTTTTTAATTAATTAATATTAATTTAGGTCAATTTTTTAATCCAAATATATGTATAGTTTTTTACTTGGAACTATTTCATAGAGATATGCTTAAAATTAGCTTTTACGTATTCATTCTTCAGTTTCAATAGTTCCCCACTTTATGTCAATTAGTGTTTTTGAACGACAATGCTTTGATGATGAGACTGGGAGTATCATCAACATAGCAATATGCTACCACCTTGAATTGATTAGGAGTTATTATGCTTGGAAATTTCAAGTTTCACTTCAACTTTTGCCTAAAACATGAACATGTGCAAAATCAGATTTTGAAATTGTTCATGATCAACTAAACAAGAAGTGATGATCTTTGTTATGAAACCTGTATTTGGTTGGTTCCCAAGGTAAAATGATTATCACAGATAGGGTCAAATGCAAAATTGAAAGCTAATAGTCATTGATCTTGCATAATCTTCCAGCCTCAGTACTTTTATACTTTAATTCCTTTAAGTTTTACATTTTAATGTATTTCCATGTTCTTAAGTCATGTTATAAATTCATCCCTCTTTACATCATAGATGCACAATTAATTATTTTCTAATTTATATAAAAATTAAACATTTTTTAATTCAAAAAAACAATTTACATTTAATTTAAATAATATATAATTATAAAATAAAAATTTTATAGACATTTTTAAATTAATTAATATTGATTTAGGTTTAAAAGTTATTGGATCTTAAATTATTAATTGGGTTTTAAATGATTTGGGTTGAGCACATATATTATATATAATATATTTAATATTTAAAATTTAATTTCGGTTAATTAACCGATTTCGAACCGAATTAACCGCTAATCGAATTCTAAAAATTTTCTTAACCGTTAACCGACTGAACTAATTCGGTGGCCAACCGAATTAACCAAACTAATTCAATTCGGTCGGTTAATTTGAAAAAATGAACACCCCTAATTGAAACTACTTAAATAGTTATCTAATTACATTGTCAGAAATGAAAATATAATGGTCATATCGAGACCAATCTCATAATTAATTGGTCATGTAAGTAGTTTAGCCTTTATTTATGTTTCTATCATTAAAATTGTCAAAAAATAACAAAGTTATCAATACGACATTATATTATAAGAACGAAGTCGCATACTAGTAAAAAGAGAGTTTATATCTAATTTAGTCTTAAAATTATAATTATAAAATCAGATTGATATTTAAAAAAAAAATCTAAACCATTGAAGACCGGAGACTTTTGAGTTTCTTGCAGATGAAATATGATTTCGCCTTCTCTTGGATTTTAATTTTAATAAGGACTTCATCATATTTGATTTTGGGTTCCTCCACTTCTTGTAGCTGCAATACTTTTGAATCACCTCCATGGATTTGAGTCTTTTGACAGCAAAAAGTTGTCTCCATGTATCAACTTATCGGTTCTGAACAGGAACGGACGTATGGTTTTATGTTAGGGGTGAATTTATAAAATTTTAGGAGGGAAAAAAATTAAAATATATAAGAATTTGAAATTTTTAAGAGGATAATTGCCCCCTCTAAGCCCATGCCTGGTTGTGGATATCAAGTATATGAGCTTTATATGTTTTTTGTTCTTATGATCGACTAAGACGATTCTCCTACTTTGTGATTCCAATAGCCGCTTATAGTTGTTGCAGGTAGACCTGTTGTAACAAAACATAAGATATCTAATGGTGATAGTCTACTTTTGGCGCAACAATTAGCTTCTGGGGCTTCGATGGAAGGGTATGTTGAGGTTTATGGTTTGGCTTAAATCATCCGATGCGTGTAAATACACATTTATGTCTATATATATACAACATAATAATTACAACTACTCATTATAGCTTTTGTCGAACCATGATGACATTATCAAAGAAAACTCTCATATTCCATTTTCCCGCTTTCACTGTCGTAACTCAAAAACTATGATCTACCATAGTTCCATCTACTTTCCACTTGTAAGTTTTAACCACTAAACTATGAGTTTTTTCAATTAGGCCACTAAATTATTAAAAAGAGTTTAAATCTAACGGAATCATTGACGTGATAATCATGTAAATTGTAGAAGAACACGTTTAGGAGGCATCGAATGCCATCTGGTGGGTCTTGCAACACCGATAACCCCTTATGTCCATTTCGTCTTAGGCGAGCTAAGGCATCAGCAACGCCGTTTGCTTCCCGGCGAACATAAAAGATTCCCGACGAACATAATGTAATATAATATTCTTATTTTTAATAATATATAATAGACCACTTTAATTAAAATGTTGATGTAGATTTTTCTTAAAAACATCCATTCTGAGAACAAAAAGATTCATGTGAACGTGATGAATTAGAAGCTATGGTTTAAAAAAGGTCATATCAGTATGTTAGTTGAAATAGTAACCAATAGGATTAGTTAATAACGAGATCAAAGTATATCAATTTAAATTATATCGATTAAATCTTAAATTTATATATAATGGTGAAAACAATAAATTGACTAAATCTCCGTATTAATCAAATTAAAAAAAGAACGGTTAAAAAAATATAATAAAATATTACATCATAATATTAATTTATCCTTAAAACTATATTAAATCAAAATCTATCGGATTTAAATTATTTTACCATTCCTCCACATACATGAAAGGAAAGGATTATAGCACTGAAATAAAAAGTTTAAATTAGTAAATGATTAATTAATTATTTAAAACGTGTTGAATTAAAATTATTTAATCATCCCTACCTATAAGATAACACCGAATGAATGCAGGCAACAGCTCAACCACAAACAATCAGCTTCTTTTTGTTTAATGAATAACATAGATCAGGATAATATTGTTGTCATGTCAGTTTTATGTTTCTGAAAATGTAAGGAAAATCATATTTAAAAAAATAAAGTGTCTAATTCGGGTCTAATATTTTCGAATATGTTCAAATGAGAGTCACTGTTTGAAACGTTTTTAAGAGGTTAAGTCTTTATTTGCATAAATTTAAAAAGGTTAAAATTTTATTTAACTGCTTTGAAAGATTAAGTCTTTATTTTAGCATATACGAAAATATTATGTTTCTAGTCAACACTTTTGAAAGGTTAAAACTCTTGTGAGCAACCCTAAAATATTAGGTCCTAATTACATATTTAGTCCAAAAAATAATTTAAGGTGATAAAAAGTAGTTAAAAGATGATGAACAAATTGGTCCCCCAGACAATAGAGGGACACCCACTACGGATTCACGTATGATACAAGTTATCAATGAAAGCAATGGGACATTAGTGGGGGAAGCTCACCCGGCTAGCAATGGCAGCAAATAGCTCGCCCACCTATTTACTACTATATTTAGCAGAGATAAATGAGTGATTAAATTTCCTAGGCTTTAATGTTACGACACACCGACCTAATTTCAAGGGTAGATAGCCTTATCTTTAGAGGCCTGCATACTTGCATTTAACTTGGTTCTGGTTTAGAGTGTCCATGGTTGGGGCAGTGGTTCGATTTTTTTTTCTTTTATTTTAACTCAAATGGAATAAAGTCAATAAATTATTTTATATTTAAAAATAAAGTTTAAAGAATATTGAATATTGAGTCTATTATTGATTAAGTTAATGGTAGATAAAGTATGAATTTTTTTTAGTGCATAAACATTAAAATCGAGAGTAAGGATTTATTTATAAATTTTTTAAAGTGTAAAAGTGATAATCTTATTAAAAAGTAAAGAAAGAGAATTACATATTCAAGATCATTATCCTATGCAACAGCATCATCTCTTATAAACTTTAAGATTTTCCTTTTCTTTCTGGATATGGGATTAATGTCTTTCAATCACCAAGATGAGACACTCCCCTCATTCAATCTCGTATAACTATCGTCATTTTTTACTTCCAAATAATATGGATGATAGATTGTGCAACACTACTACTTACAAACTTTATAATCTTAATTTTTTTTAATATGAAATTAGTATTCCTTACTTATTTAAGGTGTGATATTATTGTTCTAAAACTCATTTAAATCATAACTATTAATAGTAGAACCATTAAAATTCGTAAAAATTCTTTCTTGATTTTTGTAAAGTTAGTATTCTAACTATTGACACTTTAAAATCTTTACAAATTAGTCCTTAGCATCGGTTTTAATACTTGTTCATTAAATTAATAATAGACTTGATATTCATAATGGAATTTAATCAGAAACTCAGAGATTAATAACGAATTTTACGTAAATAATTCTTAAGGCAGATGTATAGGTCCCCAGGCCATATACCATCGATCTTTCCCTTTCTCTTGTTTGTAGCACAAATTTGACAGACACGAAAACAAAAGAAACAAGGAGGGAGGAAGGTGATGAAGGAATTGGTATTGTGGTTGGTTGGAAGCAGCCAAGCTGCTAAAATCCAAGTGATGGTGGACCTTCAATCTTCTTCCTGCCATAACTCAACTGTTTCTCAATGTCTGAAGCTCTTTTCTTCCAGTCTTTTTTACTCTCACACCCATATATACTCTTGAAACCAGCAGCAGGCAGAGAATATCTACTCGTGCCAACTAAAATCCAAACCCTAAACTACAAATAAACTATCCACATGAAAAAACAATGGCACTCATACATACATTTCTATATATGTGTTGCTCATACATGTTGCAGTCTATACTTTTCTGCAAACATGTCACATGAAAGTTACTCGGTTGGTCGAGACTCGAGAGTCGTAAGTACCTCCTTCGAGTTTCATTTAACGAACGATCTGAAAATGATTATTAACGGACACAACAAGAACGAGAAATTCGGAAACACAGACCAGTCACACAGTAAATTTAAGTGCTCAAGTTTGCAGGTACAAATCTCCCTCTCTTCTATATATATTATTAATTATACCCCAAATCCCCAGAAGCCACAAAATGAAAAAAGAAAACGAGATCCTCATCTGATCTTTATAGTGAAGACTGCAACATACACCACCACCACCCCCCCAAAAAAAAACCAACCTAACAATAAGAATACGTCATGCAATATATATACATAGAAAATATAAATTAACCAAACTTACTGGATTAAAAAAGTTTCAGCAAAATGATCAGCTAAGTCTCTCTCGTCAACATAATGCCAGATGGTGACGAAGATGATATATATACTCTATGTTTCTTGGACTCGATCGTCATGAGTCCAAGTAACATAGAGTACACCTTCGAAGAAAAGGATCCGAGGTTCCTCTCAGCGCAAATAAGGTTCTCTCAACCTTTTGGATAATAAAACTCCAGGCTGAATTATTGCAGCTGACATGATCGCTCCGATCCAATCTTCTCCCATGCTTGTATCAGTACTCAACTTTAGATTTATTCCCAAATCCCACACCATTTTGATTATATAGAAACCAAGTGCCTAGGGAAAAAAAGAAAAAGAAAAAAAGACTCAAGAAAGAGGGAGATAGTCTGAAGAAGTGGTCTAGTTTTTTTGCTAGATGAATGAAGTGACTGAGGACCCGATGCTTGTTGGATCATGCCAAGAACCCATATTTGTGCTCCAATAAACTGGTGGATCGGATAAACCAATTTGCTCAAGCTGATTCTGGCACGGTACTTTGACATCCTTCATGGTTAGCCCATTTTCGACATTACTAATTATTTGAAGGTCTTGAAAAGGAGCAAAGGCTTCAGTGTTTTTGACACCACCATTGTTGAACTTGTGTTGGTTAAGAGTGGAAGCTAAAAGAGAAGCAATGGTGGGTGTAGTGATAGAAGAAGATGAGGACCCAAAGATATTTGAATAGCTTGAAAGAAGTGGGTTATTCGGAAAATGATCAATACTATCCCCAGAAGAAAACCCTAATCCAAGAGCACTCATACATGGCTGATAAGAAAGATTGATTATATCCGCCGAAGGGTCATTAGCTAACCCATAAAACAAAGGGTGAGTACTTGAGGTTGAAGACAATGAAGGGATAGGATTTGCACTTGAAGAAGCACCCGTACCAGCACCACCTAGAGCTGAAGGAGACGAAGAAGAAGAAGAAGCAGTCCTTTTAACACGTTTGTTCTTTCTACATCCGCCGCCGACAGGAATGTTCCTTAAAGTTCCACCTCTTGTCCAATAACGCTTACAAGCTTTGCAAAAGTGTCTCGGCTGGGACAAACTGTAGTTGTTGTAGTAGCAGAATTTTGTGTTGGATGAATCACAACGAGGACACTTCAGTGCTTGTTGCCTTTGCTGCTGTTCTTGGCTTGGTTTCTCCATCAGGCTCTGCAACAAGAGAAGGGGAAAGAAAGAGATGAATGAAGGTGTTATTGGGGTAAAAAAAACGACACAAAGTAGATATTCTCTTCCAAAAGCAAAGCAACAAAGAATGGGGTCATGTTTCTGTGTAATAATTGATTGATTGAGAGAGAGAAACCTGTGACCATTCATTGCTGGTTGAAGAGATGGTGGCGCTGGCAATCATCTTCTCGCAGCTACTCAACATTTCCATCTGTTCTAAGCTAAAGGAATCGATGAAACAAAGAGTAAAGAGACAAGGAGCAGGTGGCAAAGTTGAGGCTTCGTTGAATGGATGTTGAAGCTTTGAAATATTACTATGAAATATGGATGACTCTCTATGTGTGATATAGCACTACAAGAAAGAAAACCCTTTTTAAATGGTCTAATTCGGCATTTAGTCCCTTTACTCTCTGGATTTTAAAATTAAAGTCTAATCGTACAAAATATTAACTGACTTTTCTTCAAATCCAAATTATGTGTAGTTAATTAGACTTTAATTTTTAAACCGGACCTTAGATATTGAAAGGACATATATCTAAATTTAACAAAAAATCAGGATTTTTTTATCTCCCACACTCTGTCTAGACATAACTGAAAACATATCGAATGAAAACTTAAGCACAAAAGTAAAAACTTGCGTATATATAGGATCTTAAACTCAATCGGTGACCTATATAAGATAGGTCGATGGTTCAAGTCCTATCATACACAAATGTTCATATTTGTGTACGAGGCTTCATTTGATGCGTTCATTACTCTATAAATCATCTACAACTCTTGCAAAGTATAAGAGATAAAACTCTAACTTAGAGATAATATCAATTGTTAAGGGTTCGATTGATTGTTTGGTAGACAACATTTTACATACTTTTTTATATAAAAAAAAAAAAAAGCATTCGAAACTTTCATGAATGATTGGTTTTTAATTTGAAATCATTTAAGTTGAGAGACTCAATTTGAAAAGCCCAAAGAGTATAAGGAGTAGATGTAAATTAAACCCATTTTAGTCATTGTTTTGTGGATGAAATTTCCACGTGATGGGGTGTGGTGTATGATTGAAATACACTAGTGTTTTAATTGAATAAAGTAATGAGAGAAAAAGGAAAGTATGTTAATGGAGGAGAAATATTCAAAATCCAAGAACAAGACACCGAGGTGAAAGAGATGATGAGAATAAATTGAGAAGTTCAAGAAAAGGGACACTACATATGAAATTATTCCATTCCACATCACTGTACGTGAAAACATTCCCCTTTGAATATTGGGCAGAGGGAATCCCTATTGTGAGTGCACCCCCATTCCCCAATGCTCTGGCAAATCCCACTCCTTTACCTTTCATTTTAAATATTCCAATGGGGTCCTTCAAATATCAATCATTAAATTAATTTTTTCATCTCATTTAATGTAAAATATATTTAGAATTGGGGATAGAAAGAATTATTTTACATCATATTTCAATTGACATTTAAGGTTAAAACTAATTATTAGGGTGATGAGAATAAGAAACCACTTATAACATTTTTTAAATTTATAAACTATTTAAAATTTTAATTTTAATTTAATAAAAATAATCAATTTTTATTTAAGTGCTCATTGATTAACAAGAAATCTCAAATCTATGTCCTGGTACAATGCCGCTAATCAATGCATCTTTTTGCTATCATTACATGATATATGATCGATTCATAGAATAATATATATATATATATATACATATATAGTGAAAATAAAAAAAGATAAAGTATATAAATTGTCACTATATTATGTTGAAATAATATTTTTGGTCATTAAAAATTATAAAATAATCATTAATTTTATTGAACCAATAAAAAATGATCATTACATGCTATAAACAGTGATAGATACCAACCCTTAAACGATGGATCAGTAAAAAAAATAGGGTTATGATCCACTTACACAATGTAAAACTATCTAATTTTATAGAGATTTAAAATCGTTGGAATGAGTGAAAATAGATTGTTGAGATTGACTCCTTATTTTTTTTCAATGAGCATCTTCTCATTTCCTACTGTTAATCTCAGTCATCTCCCTCATTCAACAATCCTAAATCTATGTAAAAATAAAATAGTTTTACATTGTGTAACAGGATTCTATCTAGGGGACGCGGGACTTTATGTTAGAAGTGGCGAACTTATAAAATTTTAAAAGGGAGATGAACTTATAAAATTAACTTATAAAATTTTAGAGGGTACGAAAATATATTTTCAACTAAAAATACAAAGAAAATATTTAAATTATATATAAATTTAAAATTTTTAGGAACTACTGCCTCCACCCACTCTCCTATAGTTCCATCCCCTGACCCTATCTATATATATACACATACATACATGTACCAAGACTTATTCAGGAGGGCTCAGTCTTTGGTGTGAATTGCAGGGCCATGTGGTGGGCAGCACAGCTTAATTATAAAGTTAAAAAGGAAAAAAAAAAGGTAAAGTATAGGATGAGGAACAAATGGATTTTGTAGTATTTCAAGGGATCTTCCCACCCCCTCCGATACCCCAACACAATTATTCCTGCTCACCCTTTGATCCTTCTCTCCAAATATATAATAAACAATAGGTTTAATTCCGCTTCCAGTCCTCAAAACTCTTCCAACTTTCCAAAGTTTAGTCTCTCTACTTGTATGATATGAAAAGTTAAAGTCGGTTTGATTTCAATATCCAAAAGACTAATTTAAGATATTCAATTGATATTGCATTCAAATTAATAAAAGTCGGTTTACAAACACAATATTATTGATTAGACTTTAATTTTAGAATCAATCGAATAGGGAGGCTGATAAAACTAAGGAATTGAAAGTATAAGGTTTAGGATTTAAAGAATAAGTAAAATAATTATAGTTAGATTAATTTCAAATGTTAAAAGAGTGGAAGAGTTTATGGACTAAATTGAAAATGTACAAAAGTAAAAGAACAGGGACAGAATTATACAGAAATTTAAGTTATTTAATTACGATAATTTACAACTAATTATGGGCAGGAGGTATTTGGCGTGTTTAGATCGTTGAAGAGGATGTTATAATTCTTAAAAATACGATTACATATTTTATCACATCTTAGAGAGATGGATACATTAATTTTACCTAAATAAAATAAAATTTAAAATCAATAGTATTATACATTTTATCATATATATATATATATATACACACACGTGTGTGTGGAAAGTCTTAAGGTAAATAATACATTCTATCATATATATATATATATATATATATATATATATATATATATATTAGGTAGAAAGTAATAATTCTATAACAAGTAGTGATATAAACATATATGTGTTTTAGATATAATTACTAACCATTGTGATTCATTTTGTACCGTTAAAAATTTATTAAATTTGATAAATATTTTATAGATTACGTAAAACTCTTTAGTTTTACACGTTTTACGTTAATTTAATATCATTAAATGAATGGAAATATATGGTTGAGATTGATACTATATTTTTTTCTAGTGAATATCTTCTAATTTTCTACTGTTAATATCAACTATTTATTTTCACTCATCAAATAGTCTTAAATCTGTGTAAAACTAAAAAAGTTTTAAATTGTGTAATAAGATCTTATCTTATGTTTTTTTTTATAAAATATAAATTTAATTTAAGTTTTATCTAGAATGAGAGAAGGGGAACTCTAAGGGAAGTAATAATAGTACTCTTAGTAAATACATAATCTATTACTTAAGAAAATACGAGTAAATAAAGATGAATTGCTTCATCATGTGCCTGCTTAAATTGGATAAATATTAGATTAGCTATTATTATTGTTATCGGAAAGTTTATCCTTATTAATTTGAATGGTTGGTACCATCCAAATTAAAGCTGATACTATGACAAGACCATGATATGATATAAATAGCACAACATGGACCAATAATATTAATACTTATATAACAAGGCGATATTATTTAATGTCCATATGGTATTAGAAAATAATATATCCCACTTTAATCTCACGGTCAAACCTTTGCAATTTGGTCCCTAATATGAGAAGAAAAAAACAATGGCAGTGATACCAGGTTTCCCTGTCATTCATGGGTCTTTGAAAAATACAAATTTATTGGTTTTCGTGGGGTCCTAAGAATGGTGTGGGAATGGGACAGCTCCATACATTTTTGTTTTAGGGTAAATTACTTTCAATGTTTATTGTCGGCATGTTTTAATTTGGTCATTAATTTTTAAAAAGTTAAGTTTATATCATTTACATTGTCGAATTGTTATGTTTTAATTATTAAACCGTTAAATCTAATTAATTTGATGACTTGACATATTAATAATACTATTAATTTTTAATTTTACCCTTAAACATTAGACAAAATACTAATTTGACCTTAAGTTATTCTTTTCCTCTTCCTTTACAATTAAGGATATATATAGGTCAGGCCAGATTTTTTACCAACTGAAGTATTATACTCCTCCACCTTTCATTGTCTCGATTTAGATTCGAAGAGATTGCGCCTAACCTAAAATTTAACTTGATTTTTGCTATAAATTAGAAATCTAATTGAAAATTAGAGAGTGTTATAACAATTATCCCTATATATATCAATTATTTTTTTGTCTGGTTGAATCAAATATTTTTCACTCTAAATCTGAACACGATACAACATTATCCTTAATAAAACATGACTTGACCTGACTCAATTATTTTACAAAAAAAAAAACAAATTTAATCTTATAAAATCGAATGGACTTGTTATCCATTATAACAAGGTCCAATGCCTATCCCTATCTACAATGTTCAATTTCACCCTCCCCTCGACAAAAAAAAAAGGACAAAGAATTAGACCTGAACCTTTTCCTAATTTCTTCATTTTCCGACGACTCTCTACCGGAATGGTACCGTAGATGGGTCTCTAAAACAATCTTTTTGAAAGGTTAAACCTCAATCAAACCATTCTATAAGATTAGACCCTACTTTAACACTTAGCTTAAAATACATGCAAGTTGTAATAATTAAATGATTATTCTTTGGACAAATGAATCTCACTTGCTTAACGGCTACTGTGTTTTTGGACTTTCAATTACATGTAGATATCGACCGTCTCGTTAGTGTACGCTCGTTGTTTGTTTTTATTATAATGTTATAATTAATTTAGTTATGTTGATGGGACATTGCTAGAGCCATAGTGGAACCCTGGTCCCTCATTTGCCTACAATTTACATACGACAATATAGCTTGATTTGCTTAGGGATTTTGGATATCGATATTCACTCAAAACCTCTTTATATATTATTAATTGTAACTATATTATATTAAAGTGTAAAGTACACTATGGATCATTGAATTATGTTTAAACGATCATTTTGATCAATGAGCTTTTTAAATTTATAATATTATCACTAAATTTATTGGATGATTATAAAACAGTAATTAAATTTTATCGAAATCTTATAAAATAATCATTAATTTTAGAAAACTTTTACAATTATCATATCGGTGCAGTAACCATTTTATAACATTTGATAAATCTAATGATCATTTTATAAATTTTAAAATTTTATTGGTCAAAACAGTCATTTGAGTATGGTTCAGTGACCTATAGTGTATTTTAGCATAGCTTTAAACATGTTGTTAAACTTAGTGATTAGAAGTCCACAATTCGATAAATTTTACGTAAAGAATTAAAAAAATCAATAGTTGAAGTTCATTTGTATATCAAAATGGGGATTAGATCTCTTAAGCAATGTTAGGAGTTCGAATATTAACGTTTTTTTAATCCAGCAAATTAAGTTAGGAGGGTCGCTTCGCCTCTGTAGTACCTGTTACAGATTAGTCGATTAATAAATCCAATATCAGTAGTTATTAACAAATAAAAAGAATAAATTCTTTATCTTATAAGGTAGAAGGATGAAAATCATAATTAGACCGTATTTTTAATTACGGGCCTTGATTTAAATTTGGGGGAGCTCAAAAAGCCTTCGATTTTTCGTTGTTTTCCATGAGCCATAATAGGCCACCCAGTAGATGTTGACAGTGACTAACTACTTTAAACAAAGGCATGGTTTAGCCCAAAGTGATACCTAAGTTTTTGGACCACAGTTTGCCCAATACATATCTTGGTCTCCTTCAGGAACTGGACCAACAATCTCAAAATATTATAAAGTAATATAAAACGTTGAATAAGTTTGGGATAAATTATCTAACTAGTCACTCCACTTTTAGGGTTCTGACGTTTTGGTCAATCAAACGTTTTCATGTTAGAGAAACAAAGACACCTACCTGCTTCTAATTTTATAAAGAAGGAGCTACAAACCCTAGGTTGTAGAATGGTTGTGAAATTATACAGGTGGAGCCTAAAATAATGATAAAAAAGGGTTAAATTTTCCAATCAAATTACCATCAAACCCTAGTATTTACCTACTAAATATACATTGAACCTTGGCAATGAATCCGTGGTCCCCAAAAAAATTTAAGGTTTAACATGAATACTTCAAATCCAGATATATGTATATATTTAATATGTGTATAGCTAAATATTCTTTTTAAATTATTTTCATGTTATTTAAAAGATTATTAAAAATCATATCTTTATTTTTATGTGTCGATCATGAATATTTCAAAAAGGAAATATAAACTGAACGACATGGATTATATAAAAGTCGAGAAAGAATAGGATAATGGCAAACCAAACATCATGTATAATGAATAAATGCTTGGGGGGTCCCTTAGTACAGAAGGTGACAGCAAAGTGAACCCAGCTGCGCGCATGGTTCGTCCAATTGAATCGACTTAACTTGGTGCAGGAACCACAGATGAGCGAGACCTCCTCATACAATTAGAAAATGGGGACGAATCTACACGATAAAATGTACGAGACGAGGTGGTCCTGTATTTTTTCGACCATGGGAGTAGGAGCAAACCGGGGCACGAGGGGCTTTTTGGTAGGTTCCCACTTATGTGCAACCCGGATGGCTTAGACACCAAATTGAGAAAACAATGGACAGCAAAAGGATCAATAAAGAGAGAGAGAGAGAAATATATATAGGGTGCTATAAGGACATTGTATGATGATAGTTGAGGGGGCCCGTCTTCCGTCTTGAAGCTAACAATGGACCATTTCCAAAGGTTTTTTTAAAACTACTTTACATGTTAGCCAGCAAACTGTCCCCATTTCAGGAAAACGACTATCAATAATATAACACTAACTAAGTGATATCGATAATAAAAGAATTGTTATTATTTATTTAGGTCTTGGGTTCGATCACCATAAGTGCCACGAGTGTGAGTGTTCAATGTCAAATAGATGAGAATTATCTTTGAATGTATAAATTCGTCCCATATAGATTCATCCTTGATCGGGTTAGACTGAGTTTTGGCTCATCCTATCCGAGTATTATGTCTTTTACTTGTCACTTGATTTGATCCAAATTTACGAAAGCTCTATTTTACTCAAAATTTAACTTTATTTTTTAGATGAAAATCCGTACATGGCCTATCGAGCTGACATAAACACACATACATATATCATTTTTATTAGGTAAAATAAGATTAATTGAACAAATATGTAGAGACATGTAATATTGCAATTATTTGTAAATGTATAAGGGATAATTATAATCTTATATTGGGTCAAGTCATGTATAATATTTTTTACCCTAAATACAAACTCGACCTAACCCGAACTCACCATTAAAAAAAGACCCAACTTTAAAAATACTAACCTTGTAAAATTAAATCAAATCAAAACATATCAAATTCATGTCAAATGCTAATTTCTTATTATAAGGATTTCAATTAAGTTGAAAGTTAAACTATATCAAATATGATTTCATAAGAATAACTTAATGAACTTTAACTTTTTCTCTATAACACTTCAATTCAAAATATCAAATATTTTTTAAATAAATTGAAATTATTATTTAAATTTTTTAATTTATTGATAATATATATGATAGATATATATATATATATCATATAAACATTACTGTTCAAAATTAAAACTACTAAAAAGAGTAACATTCCTTTTCATCGTTGATACCATTGGATGGATTCAAGACATCGGACATTTGATCCTCGATCCGACCAAAGTTATACATACGCACGCGCCGTGTAGAGAACAAGTAAAAAACAACAGAACTTGATGTGGATAAACCTGTCTCTGACACAAGTTTCTTAACGTGAAAACAACTTTATTCTTCAAGTTATTTCATCAAAAGTCCTTAAGTTATAGTTTACATTTTAAATTTGTCTCCAATCTGAAAAATATTCTAATTAAATTTCCAGAATACCAATATTATACTGATAAGGTATTTTCATCAAATTTATCGCCAGTTTGAATATTAAATGTCAGTTCAGTTTTGATGTAGAGCACTTTTATATACATAGATCAAATTATAAACACGTACATGATTATCTTATGAATAATTTGAATACAACATGTTAGAAAAAATATTATTAAAATATGAAAAGGTTACTTTTTTTTCCTTTTTTACACATGAAATCTAAAATATTCACATAATAAATGTACGCATATTTATAATTTAATTCATATATTTTAACATGTTTCTTGTCATATTTAAGCTAACGCTGAACGCTTAAGCTAATAGAACATTTTGAAATTTAAAGTGTGAATTTAGAATCTTAACTATAGATTGGGGGTATCACTTGGAATTAACCTTATATAATCGTATGGATGAAGAGCCGATGATGTTAGAGACCAAGTCAAAGATCACCTTCACTATACTTTCACTCTCTTCTGACAATATTTAACGGTATATACCAGTTACCTCCGATCAGATACACCCTGTCAAAATTATGGTATAATAATACTTTAGATCCTTATAAATTTAGTAAAATTAATTTTTATCCTTTCTGTTTTTTAAATTAAATAATAAGTCTATTGTTTTTCTTTTTTTTTTTTACTAAAACTGTCAGTTGAATACAATATTTGATCATAGCTCTGTTTCTACTTTTAATATACATGTTTTTGCAATAAAGGTCGTGAGAAGTCTATAGATATATTTATGTCTATTACAAATATATATTTCGAATACAAATGTTAAATAAAAAATTAAATTTTCATTCATAAGATTTAAACTCGAGACTTTATTAGTAGAATACGATGCTCCATGACATTTAATTTAAGCCCTTGTGAGCTACATTTATTCCATAGAGCTTTTCTACCTTGTTTCAACTGTTGAACAAATGGTGACAGGGACGGAAATGGAACTTTATGCTCCTCGTACATGATTCTCTCTTTAACCTTCTTATCTCTCAATAGAGACCCTTTTTTTCTTATTCTTCTCCATTGTTGTCTTTTCCTATATATAATCCACATCTCTGCTTTCTCTCCTTCGTGTTCCCCGGAGATGGCAACTAGCAAAGCCGAAGGCAAGAGGAGGCTAATGGAGGAGGATGAAGAAGAAGATCAAGAAGAAGACGAAGATAACACCACCGGTGACGATGAAAAGAAGAAGAAAGGCAAGAGAGGATACTCCGGCGGGTCAACTCTACCCGTCTGCCAGGTCGAGGACTGCCCCGCCGACATGACCGACGCGAAGCAATACCATCGACGGCATAAGGTCTGCGAGTTCCACGCCAAGGCTCCCGCCGTTCGAGTTGCTGGGATCCATCAACGCTTTTGCCAACAATGTAGCAGGTTTGAGTTTCCCATAAACCCTAATTTTGTAATTCAACTATAACATAGTTTAAAATGTTGACTTGTTGACTTGGACTTGCAGATCATTGATCTAATGTTTGAGATTATTTTTCTATTTTCATAAAATAACATTTTTTTTATTTAGAAATATTTCAGAATAAAATAGGAAGAGGGTGAATAAGAGTTTTAATTAAATATTATTGTGTATTGATACAAATCATGTGAGATTATGTGGGGATGTATTTGATTTAGTTTTTTAGTAAAAGATGAATTAGATTGTATTGTGCAATTTTTAAAAAAAAAATGAAACCGAGAATAAATGACATAAAAATTAAAAAAAATTATTGCTTTCAATTTGATTTTTTAGTTTTTAATTGTTTACCATTTCTCAAACTCAAAACATCCAAAGACAGTACAAACACACAAGTTTAAATTCACAAAAAAGATAATATTATTAGTTTTAGAATTTTATTTATTACAAATTCAAAAAAATATTATTTTATATCATTATTTTCTTTTTTTAATTTGATTTAATTGGATTAAATAGGTTTCATATGAAAAAATCGAAACTGAATCGAATTGTGAAGTTAGATGTCTAAACTGAATCGAACTTGAACCACAAATTAAAAATTCAAATTGTACTGTATAGTTCGGTTCAAATTGGTATTTCAATTTCCTCAATTCTGTTGCTTAATCCTACTTATTACTTATACGAGAGAGTCAACACTAATCATTTCAGGTGTATTCACTATATATATATATGAATTTATCATATTTAGAATTAATCGAAACTCAGTGATTACCTTCAAAATGATAATGTAGGTTTCATGAATTATCAGAGTTCGATGAAACGAAAAGGAGTTGTCGAAGACGTTTGGCCGGACACAACGAGCGACGCCGGAAAAGCTCATCTGAATATCACGGAGAAGGATCGAATTATTAAATTGCTAGAAGGCAAGCTTAAGATATTTCACAACTCGCCCTTGAATTTACTATGAAACCTATATATAGGAAGGCCTACACGAATGCTCATCTAAGATGAATTTTAGATGCTCTCTCTCTGTCAATCTTAATTATGCACCTTTTCTTGCTAGCTCTGCAAGAAAATCTATCTTTATCTATGGAAAGCCTTTATATATGTGCGTGCTTCCTTGACGGTCGTTTAATGCTTTCTTGTATGCTTTGGTATTCAATCAAAAGAATAACTGAGATAATATTGTAAAAGGGTGTATCTACAACTAGTGTGTGTAATTAGATTAAAGATTTGTAAGTCTTTTACTGCAAATATTATAGTGAACTTCTCTTTGAGTATGACTTTGCAAAGCTATAAAACATGGTCGAT